CCTTTCAGAAGTGGTGTGCCGAGTCTTCATTTATTCACTCTAATTTAAGGTTTTGTGTGCCAGTAATACATTTTAACATTTTTAGAAGGTCTCTTTCTATAAGTCTATACTATATAACTAAACTATTGTATGTAAAGTAAATAAGGTTTTTAAAATATTTAAGAAGCTTCATTTAAAATTAAATTAAAATGCAGAGCCCCCTGGACCGCTGGCCAGGACCCAGGCAGTGCGAGTGCCACTAAAAATCAGCTCGCGCGCCGCCTTTGGCACGCGTGCCATAGGTTGCCTACCCCTGGTTTAGATTGTAAGTAGCTTGTGTCAGGGATTGTCTTATTAGGTGTATTTGGAATTCCTGGCACAATGTGCTCTAGACACTGCTGCAACACAAATACCACATGTTCAAGGTGGTTTTCAAAGTTTCCTAGATTGCCAACAACTATAAAGGGAAATTGTTAACCATGAATTTCAGCTGGGAGACTCTCAGGTCAACTGGACACTAACCAGTCATGGGAGGAGATTTGGGAGTGAAATTGTATGGACAAGGGATGTGCCAAGGTGGAATGGATGAGCAGAAGTGACCGGTAACGAGGCAGTGTGCGTAAAGGCAGAATCCTAGGAGCTTTAATGTAGGTATGATGAAGACTCAGCAGTTGTGAGGGTGAGAGAAGGGACCGGGATCAAGAGGAAATAAATGTGAGCTCTGAGGGACTGGTGAGAAAAAGCACTTTGAATTCAGATGTGAAGGTGAATCAGCAGAGACAGCACGGACTAGAATTTCAGTAGAGCTCAAAACCCAACAGTTCCCTTTTAGGCACCTGCATAAAGTGTCCAGCACTTCCCATAGTTCTCAGTGAGTCCTGCTGGATGGCGGGCACTATTGAATGGAAGCCGAGTGCTCTTAAACACCGAGCACCAATTGTGGGTGTGGAGCGCTTATCTGGCCCTATAAGCAAGGACTTTTATTTAATGCACCTAACACCCAAATCTCAGGCTTTACCTGCCATCTGATGCTAAATTGCACCTCTCTGTATTTGAGGTCTTAGCAAAGTAAAGTTGAATTACAAATCAACACTTCTACACTGTTTTGAGATTATCTTAAACCCCAGCCTTTCCATCAGACTGTGGAGCGGACAGGGGGTAAAAGAACAGAAAGCCCTTGCTGTTAATATTTATAGGAACTAAAGCTACTTCATACACTTTCAGGCTAGAGGAAGCCAGTGTTAAAATCAGTACAGATTATTTTTGGAAAGGCACTGACGTTGGATTTGATTATTTGGAATAGCAAGGGAGTTTTCATGTAAATTAATTTTGGATGAGTTATTAAAGTTAATAGTTTAAAAACTGCAATCACCTTTTTGGAAGTAGGTAAATTAAATCCAGTGGCAAGGAGATACCAGTTGTAGATTGATTTGAAATGGGAATTTAACATTCTTGTGTCCCCAATGTCTTAATCCTATCTGAAGTCATGGGACCTGATCTGGATAATACTTGTGTACATATTAATCCTCTGGGAAAACAATTGGGGTGGCTACATTTCCCTTTGCTTAATAGAATAAAAAGCTCTTGAAAATGGTTGTTTTGATGTATAATAATTATTGCCTGTTTTATTTAGAGAATGAAAAGCTCTGTTCATAACTAGGATTGAAAACTTTTTTTTTTTTTACTAAAAGAAGCCAAATCAACCCCCCCAAACCACTATTTCCTAAATTGTGACTTGCAAATGTTAAAATTATGATTTAGATCCTCTGTGGAAGAGTTATTTTACAAGTCTGAAAAGGGAACTTGCTGCTGGCATGGTCTAGGCATGGTCAGGTTAGTTAGCTATCCTACACCCTAGTCCCGTGCTGAGAACTCTGCAGTTGGACCCCAGCACTCAAATAAAGCAGGGTTCCGCTCATGCAATTCAGTTTAGACTGGGGCCCTAGCAGGCTGGATTGTGATAATCCAAACATCACAAGCAGTTTAGCCCCACATTTTCACAATGAGCCTCTGAGTTCGAGGTGTTGTGGAGTAGGGGGGACTTCTGAACCCAGGAACGCTGCAGGCAGCCTGAGCGAATACCCCACCCTGTAGCTTGCCCCTGCTGCTGCCACCAATTCCTCTCTGGCAGTACAGCACTAGAAGGAGATCTCCTTAAGTTGGCCGGGTCTCCCTAAGTGTGCTTAGCCAGAAGCAGAGACAAGGGGGCAATGGGGGACTTGTTTTGCGTTCACTCTTGTAGTAGAATGCTTGGTGGTGCGAATCACCACCTTCAGCTCCGATGCCGCCTGTCGCAGCAAAGGGATCAGCCCAGCTCCGTGAGTGTTAGCCACGGTTGTGTGAAAGGAAAGAGCAAACTATTGACCCAGTTATATCCTGCCACCCCCGATGGAAGCTGCACGACATTCCAACAGCAGGGGTGGAGTTGGGTAAGTGATACAATCTACTCTGCTCCCATGGTACACCTTGTGTGTTGTCAAACCAGGTAGTATTTGGGAGCCCATGGGACATGATGGTTTTCATGCGTGCTGCTGATTCCCTTTTTAAAGCATGGCTTTTGGAGAGCAGCATGCCTGGGAATCCTTTCTCTACACAATCACTACCCGGGTGCTCCTAAGTGTAAGCCACCTGGGCTGAGTGCACATCTTTATCCCCCTATAGTGACTGGTCTGCCTAACAGGATAAGAGCCTACTATAGCTACCAACTTGGAGAGCTACTCCTTAGCTCACGCAGTAGAAGGTTCTTTTTATGCTCAAGAGTCTGGGTTCAGAGCCCACTGATGGCCCAGGCAGAGGATCATCATACAAGCTCTGCAATAAAGGGACGAGTCCAATTATCACCTATCTCTGACAGGTGTTTGTCTAACCTGTTCTTAAAAAACCTCCAATGATGGAGATCCCACAACTCTCTTGGCAATTTATTCCAGGGCTTAACTACACTGACCGTTAGGAAGTTTTTCCTAATGTCCAACCTAAACCTCTCTTGCTGCACTTTAAGCCCTTTGCTTCTTGTCCTATCCTCAGAGGTTAAGGAGAATAATTTTTCATTCTCCTCCTAGTAACAACCTTTAATGTACTTGAAAACTGTTATCATGTCCCCCCTGAGTCTTCTCTTCTCCGGCCTAAACAAAGCCTGTCTTTTCTCAGTCTTTTCTCATAAATTGTTTTCAAGACTTTTAAACTAGATTGCACAAGTACTATTCACCAACAGTCATAAGGTAAATATCTAACTACATGGAGCTTATTTATTGCCTCTCTTTCTTTTTTCTTCCTGTTTAGCATAAACTAATCCTCCTCATGGGGGTTGCACTGACATTTCCACTGCAGGCTAGAGTCATCTTTGGAGAAATCCCTCTTGAACTGTCCTAATTACCAGAGGAAATACCTATCTCTGCACAGCTCTCTGTACAACTACTAAGCCCTCCCACCACTACTTAGGAGACTTTTCCCCTTGGATCTTGTTACACAACCAGGGAACCATCAGGACAGCTGTGATCTGAAAGACTGAACAGCATGGGTTCCAACCCTGACTCTGCTGCAGGCCTGCTGTATGACCTTGGGCAAATGATTTAGCTTTCCGTGCCTCAGTTTCTCTATTTGTACAACAGGGGAAATGACCTCCTGAGGTCCCTTCCAACCCTGATTATTCTATGGTTCTATGATTAACCAACTTTTAAGTGCTTTGAGATCAACAGCTGGAAGGAGCTGTATAAATGCACTGTATTAATTATTACTGCCAGCATATGTGCTTAATAGTAACCATTTATTTAGGAGAAATGCAAGCCGGTATAAAGTTAATTGATTTACAGTAGATTTAGCTGGGGTCTGCTGGTTAGATTGCAGACAATTCATCATTGTTTAAGTATCACAGAGAGTCATGCCAAACCTCTATTAATCCAAGTCTTTCTTTAGTGCGACCACTTGCAAAATTCCCAAGGCTTCCAAGCAGCAAACATTTGAGTTAGATTTCTGAAATAAGTGCATGTCACTGTAAATGTCTTATTGAAATACACTACAAAGAAGTGGGCTGTAGCCCACGAAAGCTTATGCTCTAATAAATTTGTTAGTCTCTAAAGTGCCACAAGTACTCCTGTTCTTCTTACTACAACACTCCTTCTCCACAAGGAGATACTTAAAAATAAACAAACTCCCTTCAAAATGAAACTGGAAAAAGGGAGAATAAACAGATAGGAATTGTATACTGGAGTAAACTTAATTTATGCACTTCTCAACAAGCTGAGAGAATCCCTATGTCTGTCCCTGTGCCCAGACACATACCTAAATGGAGAATGTGGGTGTGTAATATATTTACTAATACGTGACTGAAGTCGGGAATAAGTGTTAACATGGAATTGTTAAAAGGGAAGGTAAAAATAACCTCAGTAAGTAATGTTGTGGCAAGTGATAATGAAAACTGCAGAAAAACAAGAGAGAGAGACGAGGGGAAAGAAACAGTCCCCTCCCTGAGAACTTGATTATTTAGAGCTCACGGCCAGCCAGCTTAGACCACAGGGCTATCTCTGGTTTCCACGAAGTCACTGGTGGGAATCTCCTCCTCCCCTCTGTTGTCATTTCATTTCCCAAATCATGTTCCTTTTTCCTGCCAGTATTAATCTGAGCAAATCTTTGCAATGCCTGAGTGATTATCTCAGTACAGAGCTGCAGTTACTATAGCCAACAGAGCAGGAAGGGACCCATGACTTCACTCTGTGCAAAATGTACCCCGTGTCCTTTAAAGGCGGTGGGGCTGCTTCTCGACTCACCCTGCTGTGACTCAGGGGTAACGAACTCTCCTGAAGTTACCCCCTCATCAGACTGGGAGAAGAGGCAGGTGTTGCAAATTAGACGCTCAATCCCTTTTAGGGAAAAAAAAAGAACCAGGAGGCTACTAAAGGGGGGGGGGGGGTGTTTGTTCCTTCTTTCCCCGGGGGACATTTTTTGCGCTTCTGTATTTTCAGAGGAGTTGCGGGGAGAGTGGGAACTTTCAACAGGACGCAGGTCTGGGGAGGTGGCATATGATCATGGGAAAGCCAGGCGTGTGGGCGGGAGCAAAGGCAGAGATCGTGTATGTATGTGTGTGTAGGGGGGAGGCTATAAAAGTTCAGGCGAGTGCCTAGTGCTGTGTGTGCCTGTGTTGGAGAGTAACCGATCATCCGCCGCTGTAACCGGCTGAGCATCCTAGCGGAGCTGCCGGGGCGAACGCGAGCCGGGAGAGGCGATTTGGGACTGATTGCACAAGCGGAGGAAATCACCAGCCGGGGTGCTCTCGCTCTGACTTCAATCCAGCTCCTCCCCCCCCCCCCCCCGGTGGTTGTGGCTTTTCCGTCCATCCAAAAGCCTGATCAGCCAAGCCAGCCCTGGGGGGTTCAGCCGTTTTTCTCCTTCCCCTGCCTGCAGCGAATCCAGCCCTGCCTGAAACTTGCATGGAGTTGGTGCCGTCTTCCCTCGGCTCCGGGTGAATCCGGTGTGTCTCTCCCAGCCTCTCGCCGGTGCAGCCGCAGCCATGGGGAAAGTTACGGGCCGGTCCCCAGCGGGCTGGCGCGTTGCTCTGCTCGCCGGGACCTGGCTTGTCCAGTTCCTCGGCACCTTTGGCACCGGCGGGGCCGAGATAACCTGCCGCGCCTGCCTGGCCCCGGGGAAGCCGCCTCGGCCGCAGCGGGGATTATTATTCGTGGCCGGGTGGCCGGGCCGCGGGGAAGAGGCGAGGCGGTTCCCGGCGGCTGCGGGGAAAGTGACCTCCCCGGCTGCTCCCAGCCCGGAGAAACCGACTGGCCATCCCGACCCTAGCGCATCCCCAGCGCGCCCCGGCCTGCCCCGCGCTCCCCCCCGCGGGACTGCGCCCGCCCTGCCCGGCCGGCGAGGCGAAGAGCGGACCCCGGCGGGGCGTGCGCCCCGCGGCAGCCGGCTGCGAAGGAGCCAGGCGGAGCGGAGGCGAGCCAGGGCGGTCCCGGCGGAGCGGGACCAGCAGGGCAGGGAGGCGGCGGCAGCATCCCCCGAGCCGCCGCAGGGCAAAGCCACCCGCTTCGGGCTGGAGGAGCTGACGCTGAGCAGCAGCACCTTCGCGCTGACCGGGGACTCGGCGCACAACCAAGCCATGGTGCACTGGTCCGGCCACAACAGCAGCGTGAGTAGACCCAGCGCCGCGGCGGGGGGCGGGATGCAGACCCGGGGGGCGCTGCAGCGCCGGGTCTTGGGCAACGTGCAGAAAGCGGGGCTGGGCTGGTGGATCGGGCTGGTCTCCGGCCCTTTGCATCGGGTGTCACGGGGCAGTTCGCAGCCGGGCCAAAGTGCTCCCCGTGCCTTTCTGCTGCAGCAAAAGTTTTCTCCCCCCGCCCCCAACAGCCACCGGCGTTGCACTCTCCTTGCTCTTAACTGGGTGAGGCCACCGGGAGGTTTGGCGAGAGGGCAGGGGTGGGACTGGAGAGGAGAGAGCGGTATCCTCGTTGTACGTGGAGCAATCCGTGGTAGTCCTCAAATCTCCATAAACTCTCCCCAGCTTGCATGCGACGCACACTCTCGGGGCGTGAGCAGCAGCGGGTGAGCGAAGATGCCAGTTACATTGCAGAGTCGGAGTTGCCTTCGGTCCTTGCCTCCCCTTTCCCTACACTGCAGTCCGGTCTGTGCCATCCGCTCCCTAGGGGCGGACAGATGCCGAGGGAAATAAATCAAACCCAAACTTGAAGATGTGTGCGCCGCAGAACAAGGGTGCCAGCAGGGGAACAAAGCGGTGCTTGTTTAATTTGCCCCGGTGGTGTTCAAAGAGACAGTTCTTGTATCTACAAGTAATAACCCAGATCTCTTCCTTGTGAATAGCCACAACAAAGAGTAGGTGACTAAAGGAGCATTCATGGCACACAGTGCGGAAGTTTTTATCAAGTTAACTTGAGCTCTGCTTCCTCTGAGCCTTGGCTAAATGTGAACCGGAGCTGGGATCTTAGATCCGTGAGAAACAGTCGTTGTTTTGTTTCCTTGTGTTTTTAAATCTAGTCCTGCTAAAGCAGAGGTGTGAACATCTCTGGGTAATTAAATGTTCACAGTTCTGTGGCTTTTCACTTAAAAGAAGCAGAGAGAATGTTAATAAGAGTGAAGATGAGATGCAGTCATAGCAGGGACATGCTTTTCTTATTTATCAAGGAGATCAGTGACTCAGGCTAATAATAGGTTCCAAGGTGTTTTCAGCTCTTATGCTACTCTGGAATACAATTTCTGTCTGTTTCATGAATATGTATGTGCTTATCTTCAGCTTCTGGTATCATTTTAAAATAATGGCTTCATCATTATGAATTCCTTTTGGTATTAAGGTAAATCGTCATGAGCCCATTTAGTATTAATGTAGATGTCATAAGCACTTGTATATGATTCAGCCTTCATTGACTGGACCAATATTTTATAGTCTTATCTGGAACTTTTTAATCAAATCATTGAAGCAGAAATTCTCACCATCCAGGTTTTCAGGACCTTTCCACCCACCTTAACTATTGGATCTCACAGGTACTACTAAGATTAACCTTCTAGTTTGATCTCCAGTCTTCTAAAACTGATTGAGTTTGTCACCTTTTTAAAGGGATTCATTTGTTGAGCAAGGGCTTGTGATGCTAAAAAAGCCATCAAGCATTCTGGGCTTGTGATACATGGAATTAGATATTTAGTCTTTACATTTAGAAAAGAAAAAGATATTTCGGTCCATTACTCGGACACAAATTGTAAAACATGAAACAATTTACTGCATGATAGTTTTGGTTTACAGGAGGTGAGACTAGATGACTACAAGCGTCCCTTCCGGCTTTATAACCGAAGGACATGTTTTGGGATGGGGTGGAGAAGTGCTTTGGCTAATTAGTTACATTCTTCCCAAACAACTGTCTGTCAGACAGGGTCATGCGGACACCTTGCTTCTGTTGTACAGGAAGATGCCAACCCATCCGGTGCTATGATCACCTCCAATCTCACATAAGTAGAATAACATTGGGCCCCAACTGTAATTGGTTGGGAGATCATTAGGTCAAACCTGATTGGTGATGTTAATTCAATAGGTAGCACCCTTCATCCTAGAGCAGCACAGAACCAGTGTCCCACCCTGGTGCTTTTGGGCACTATGTTGTGTGGTGTGCAGTCTTTTGAATGAAAGATACAGTATGATCCTTTCTGTGTGGACATTTGTTTGCAAAAGTGGCTGTTAACCCCTATTGTCCTGGCCAGATTCCAATTTGGGTAATTATTTTTCCTACTGCAGTTTTAGTGGGATGCAATATAATTCTTCATGTTTTGTTCTGAACAGTTGGGTAAGTGCCGCTGTTACAGAGCCGTCACGCTTCACCCAGACATGGCTACACTTCAGTGCTGATTGTAGTGTGTGTCGTTCGTCTATTGGGAAAGCGCTATGGGATCCCTTTAGATGAAAGATTTTATAATAAATGTAACCTGGTTGCCATAAAGCTGCTGTAGTAAATAGCACCCATTACTACTGATCCCAGACTAATTCAGTGTTTTGGAGTAAGTTTCAGTAGTTGGCTCTTTCACTTAAGACACTATTACATCAAGGTAGAACATGTACAAAGCAAATACTTTATTCAGTTTGAGGCAGGAGAAAGGACCCACGTATATGCTTTGATTTCAAGAACAGATGGGTCTGTCTATTTGAAGGGAATAAAGGCACAAGATGGTAAGCCCTTTGGGATAGATAGAGGCTGACAGTACATGGCACGATGGAGTCCTGATCCATTACTAGGGCTCTCCATTATTAGGGACTACCGCAATAGGGATAGCTCAGTGGTTTGAGCATTGGCCTGCTAAACCCAGGGTTGTGAGTTCAATCCTTGAGGGGGCCATTTAGGGATCTGGGGCAAAAATCTGTCTGGGGATTGGTCCTGCTTTGAGCAGGGGGTTGGACTAGATGACTTCCTGAGGTCCCTTCCAACCCTGGTATTCTATGAATACAAATAAATAATAATGACCAAATTCATCCATGGTGTAACTCCACTGAAGTCAGTAGTTTTACATCAGGGGCTAATTTGGCACATTATTGATCTGTATTTGTACTGTTCACTGTGTCCTCTAAGGACCTGGTCCATTTCTCCAATTGAAGTCAATGGGTCTTTCCATTGGCCTCAGTTGGAACTGGAGGATTGGGCCCTGGTGAGATTTCTCTGCAAAGCCTTCCTCCAAAAGCTTTCAGTCAAACTCCAGTATAGATGGGGATTTTCTTGCTGTCAGAGGTGATTTTGAACCAGACACACGGAAATCTAGGATTCCTGGAAATATAGCAAACTTTAATGCTCCCAATGGGAACAAATGTTAGTTAAGAATAAATAGAGACTCCTCTTTAGTAACTGCATATAAATGAATATTGATAAAACACAGGAGACTTCATGCTTGATGCAGGCAGAGTGCAGGGAGGTTGAGGAGCTGAAATCCATGCCCCTATCCTGGGTCTGGTATGCAAGACCATTGTTTGACAACCATTCCGAAACATGACCCATCCCTACTGAAGCCTTCTGCAATCAGCCAATGAATGGTTGGCACGGAGACTCTTTCCGTAGTATTTAGGGGCTGTGCAAGCATTTCAGTATGACCATGTCATCAATGTCCCTCCCCCCCCCACACAGATTCCGTATATGGGGTGTAAGTGGGGCTGAAGGCTTTGTGCTGGTCCTCTGCCCCATGGGGGATTTTCGCCACTGGTTTGGAACCTGCTACTGGGTGTGACCTCTTGTATTATTTTGCAAGTGTCTTCCAGATTTGGGGTATCAAGTCAGTGTAGATTTGGTGTCCCCACAGCTCTCTTGAGCCTCTTCTCAGGCTGCTGTCATACAGCTGTAGAAGATGGGTGGAGTTTGAAAGTGGAGCTACAGTAGGCTGCAGGTTATTGTTCTCACAGGATAGGGTGTCACCTTGCAGAGGCAGGAGAACCCTGAGGATAGTTTTACTGTGGGGTTCAGGAGCGTTGGGTTATGGGTGGTTCCAATCACCTGGTCTTCAGGAGATTGCACAGAGTTGCTGAGGCCTCAAATTTGTCTCTGCCCTAGATTTGCTGTGAGTGAGTCTTGTGAATCTATTGCTTGCTGGAAAGACAGCCAGAGAGCAAAGCATAGGGAGAGCTGAGGAGGTAAAGTGGAGGTCCATGGGAAGAAAAGCCTTAATATCGGGCTAAAGGATCCTCCTGTAAAGGAATGCAGCACATGTCCCTATTAATGCAGTAGTAAGTTGCCCTGAACTGGAGAGGATCTGCAACTGGAACAGGTGAAGAGTTGATAATAATACCCAGCACTTAGTGGTAGACCTCAAAGAAGATAAGTTTGGTCCCCGTTTTACAGGTGAGAAATTGACGATGAACAAGTCAATCAACCAGCACCAGAGATGGGAAACAGAACCTATATACTGCAGGTCCCAGGACAGTACTCCATCCACTGGGCCATACTGCTTCTCTTCATATTGCTGGAAAGGCAGAGGTGAATTTCTGAGGCCATCATTCAGAACAGTCATTCTGAGACTGCTGGACATTGATTCTAGGTCAAACACAAAGTAGTTTGGCTGGGCTGCTTTTTAATTCCATCCGTTGGATAAAATCCATGAGGCAGGTGGAATCTGCAGAGGATGCAGCCTGTGAGGATTGTCATCTCAGTGGTCAGGTGAAAAAATTAGATCGGAGGAGAAAAGCCAGGTCCCTCTTAATGGGTGAGTGTGTAGTGAGTTTGTTGTGAGACTCCACAGCAGACTTTGTCTGATGTTATTGGAAAGGCCAAGCTGAACATCTGAAAGGCAGAACAATAGTGTGATTTTTATTGTATAAGTGACCTGGGTAGAGAACTTCTGCATTAACTCTCCTTGGCCTTTAAACATGTATGCTAAAGCCAATTTCATACATTCTCAAGAATAATAAGTAGAACCTTGAATTCTTGGGATTCAAATTGACAATAGCTTGAACTGGAATGCAGCTTTGCCTTTGTCTTCGAACACTATGGGTATTATAATGTAATGTATTCCATTTTACATACATTCTTTTATATTCGTTTGTAATGCAACAGTCACATGGTAAAATCACCTTAAATTGCCGATGAGACTCTTTTCAGAAGAGAACCTGAGACATGTTGACAAAGTTTCATTTGTTTTCTGAGCATTTGATTC